GGTATTCTGGTTGACTCTTTGACAAAGTGGATCAGGTGCTAAATTAGCGAAATAGCTGCTTTCCCCTTAATCTTCTAAAGGACTATGGAACTAGGCTAAATAATCTTACAGCAGGTGGATTGACTGCAGAGATAAAATCACACTGAACTGGGCAGGCGGGAGTTGGGGAGTGGAGAAGGGAAGTAAGGAGGTGGGGACTGGGGGTGAGGGGGATGGAGCCTTGGGTGACTGGGGCACTGGAGTGGGTGGTATCTGGGGAGGTGTACTTCTTCCTGAAATGACTGCCTCTCCAAAGGGCCTGGTAATTTGTTGGTGAATTTCAGATTCCTCAGCACAAAAAAACCTCCCTTTTATGAAAGGGGGGCAAGAAGTACCAAGTGCAAACTGTAGGCGGAAAGGAAGGGTAGTTTCCGTATTAAAACTATATGCATTCAATTCAGCATATGGGGGGCAGGGGTGGGGACAAAGGTATGGGAGGGGCTTCTTTACAACAAAAAACTTTATCTTTTTGCGGTGGTGGTGGTTAATACAAATCTTCATTTTAAATAATGCTCCTCTCCAGACAATTTCATCGTCCAATCAGTGGGATTCAGCAGGCAGTCTGCTCCAGAGATTCAGGATTCTAAACTTCCCGAAACAACAACAGATGTAATACTGCATAACTGTAGGAGACTCATTTAGTGTCCTCACGAGCACAGAAAATTGAAGCAGAATTAGGTCACTCAGGTTTTTCATACAGATTGAACAGTAAATCAAGAGGGGTGACTGTTCTGGCAAGAAAAAGAGCTCCATTAAAGGCAACAGATATTTGTTCAGGTCCAGAGGAGAAGTTTATGATTCCTGTAGGAGAGTTATTTGAACAGAAAATGACACTGGCACATTTTGTTCCTTCAAGGAGCTGAGTGACACTTTTAAAAAAAGAGAGAGGGAGGCTGACGTTTTGTAACTCTTCTGATAAAGAGGCCCTTGGCAATTTTTGAGAAGGCATTTTCAGGGTTGCAATGGATACCAGGGCAGGATAAAAAACACAGTATGCAGGCTATGCTTGCCTCCTGAAGCAAGGAGGATGTACTACTGTTTTCATACTAAATTCTGACTTGATACCAAAGCAGGCCGACAGAATTCAAAGACGCTCTTCTCAAATGGACTCCTGCGAATGTGAAATACATCTCCCATGCAAACATTTGTGGAATTAGTTTACATGCTAACGTGGCAATTCCTGGAGGACTTGTGCCTAACATCTAACTCTAAATGGAAGAACCGCAATTAGGTATATTGACNCAAACTACTTTCATTCATTTTGCATGCCCGGAGACCTTAATCAAACAAACCCTTCTAGCTGGCAACAAACTCTTTTGGCTAAATGATTCAGTGTGCAGACCAGGAGACATGCACTTTTTGGGTTCACAACACAAAACTCACCAAAGTGGAAATTAGCTTTATTTCATTCCACTAGTTTCCTACTGAGTTAGCAATTCTAAAACAGGCCATTATGCTAGCTCTTATTAATCAGTGACTACTAAGAGCCATAGCAGAAACAATATATAATAATTCACTGATTAGTCAATATGTAGATCTGACATGATCCAAACTTGTGTTGTGATGAATAATCAACCGTTACAAAACAGTTTTCTGTATTTCCATAGATGCTGCGCTATTTATTCAGTAGAATGACTATCATAATTGTTAAAATTATTTTTATGGTCATGGCTAGGATTATAGTAAAACCTTGGATTGTGAGGAATGTGATTTGCAAGACGAGCACACATTTCTAATACATTTTAACGTGGTAAATGAGTGATGTCTTGCAATACGAGTAGTTTGTTTCCGGAACGAATTATGCTTGCAAACCAGGGAATTACTGTATATGCATTTGTGTTTACAAAGAAGCTCTAATCTACTACCTTACTGTTTTTCTTTAGTCATAAAGGCAAACATGAGCTATCTTATTTGTTCTCAAGGTTTCATCCCCGGTAACAAATGCCATGCTCGGACTTTATAAACCATAATGCAGGAGATAAAAAAATGTCTCTGATATACAGAAGAGAAAAACAGAGTAATAAGCAGTTCATCTTCATTACTTTAAGCTCTATGCTGCTGGTCTAAAAGATACACTATCTTACTAAGTTTATATCTTTATAACAATACTGAACAGACTTAAGGAAACACACAGATCTTGCCCAGTTACGTTTATTTGCTACATCTCAGATTTGCTGGGGAAAAAGTATTACCTGACGTTGGAAATTGAGTAACCGAAGTGCTTTCAGTTCCACGGTTGCTTTGGTTCGTAAATCTGGTGGCAAAGAGCCAGGCAGATTTTCTAATTCTTGTATCCTGTGAGCTATGCGCGCCTGAAGTCTAAGGAGATAATAAAAGAGGGGCAGGAGAGGTGGAAATAATACATTACAATTTAGTCTTAGAAGGTAAACAATAATCTTAGGTTTAAGTTCATGGCGAAACCTGTTCCAGCCACTCAGGGTTGATTTCTGACACCCAACTAGATTTTCTGACGTTAAACAGAGAAGCGCTACCTGGGCATTCAGGCGGACAGGTGCTATATGTTACTTAACACTCTGGTCTTGTACATAACTTTTCTCTAACACCCAGGAAAGAAAGCTCATGATGTATCTAGGAGGAACATCATGTGCCATTGCTCGCTCTGAACAGAGAGAGAAAAGGAGAGACAGGAAAATCTGACTGGCTCCCCAGCGCGCAGCCGCCAGCCATGGTGCAGGGCTGAAACGG